TCTTCCTTAAGTGAGGAAAGACTATGGATGTCATGTGCTATTATAGTTATTTATTCATTTATTTTTAATTTTTAAAAAAGATTTATTTATTTGAGAGAGGGGGATGCCTGCGTGGCTCAGTGATTGAGCATCTGCCTTTGGCTCAGGGAGTGATTACAGGGTTCTGGAATTGAGTCTCACATCGGGCTCCCCATGGGGAGCCTGTTTCTCCCTCTGCCTATATCTCTGCCTCTCTCTCTGTGTCTCTCATGAATAAATAAAATCTTTATTTGAGAGAGAGAGACAGCGAGAGAGAGCACAAGGCCAGAGGAGAGGGAGAAGCAGGCTCCCCCACTGAGCAGGGAGCCCAACATGGGGCTCATAACCTGAGCCAAGGCAGAAGCCCAACTTACTGAGCCACCCAGGTGCCCAGACATGCTTTTATTTAATTTTAGACCCAGCTCTTTAGTGGCAGATAAGAGATGAGGGCTGAATTAAGGCAATTATAAAAAATTGTAATAATAATCAAATATATTGATTATACTGCATATTCAGCATAGTAATTATAAATAGTAACATTATTAATAAGAAACATGCATAATTAATTAAAATAATTATTACATAACATGGTAATGATAATAAATAGTGATAACTGTCCTTGCACCTCCCTCACATTCTCAATCTCCTTTACCTTGCCCTTTTTTTACCTTAGGACACACCTTCCAACACACTGCAAAATCTACTATGTGTCTCTCTTTCCCTGTTGGAATACAACCTCCATGAAGGTGGGGCTTTCTGTCTGTTCTATTTACCACTGTATCCTCAGCGCCTAGAATAGTGCCTGGTGCATAGCAGTAGTTGCTCAATAAATAGTGAATTGAGTTGAACCAAAAGTGAATGTACTCAACTTTTACTATGTTTCAGGCATGTCCAAGGCATGTATTATTTACATCGTTACAACAAAACACTGCCTAGTTACAAACTATGAAACTAGTTCAAAGTCACAGAGTAAGTAGCAGCCCTTGGATATGAACCCAAGAATTCTGGCTGTAGGGTCTATTATTCTAAAATACCTCTTAATAAAATCTTAAAAAAAATAAAACAATAAAGTACCTCTTTAAGGTACTCAGGAAAGGAATGTGTGTGTTCCAGGTATGTCCTAGTGGAAAAGCAAACTAGATTTCAGAATTACCAGGCAGAGGGAGGCCAAGAATGGTCCCTGGGTACCTGGGGAACCGAGTGGGCAGTGGGGGTTGTTCACTGAGAGGGAGGACAGTTAGAGGAAATTAATTATGGGACTAGGAATGGCTCAGTTCAGGTATGCCTGCAATTACTTAAGTAACTTTGAGTGGTTGCATAATTTCAAACTTTCTTTTTTTTTAATTTTTATTTATTTATGATAGTCACAGAGAGAGAAAGAGAGAGAGGCAGAGACACAGGCAGAAGGAGAAGCAGGCTCCATGCACCAGGAGCCCGATGTGGGATTCGATCCCGGGTCTCCAGGATCGCGCCCTGGGCCAAAGGCAGGCACCAAACCCCTGCGCCACCCAGGGATCCCTAATTTCAAACTTTCCCTTCTGATTTTAGGTTTTCCATGTGCTGGAAACACTGCTAGGTACACCTTCACATTTAAGTGTTTGTAATAACTCCATGAGCTCAAAACTGAAGCTTAGTGGGGCTAGGCTATCCTCATCTCACTAGTGATAGAATCCAGACCTGATTCTAAAGCTCCTATTTTAAATGTGGAAGATAAAGTACAAGAAGTCTTAGCTGACAGCCTGTTTCTGGCTTGAGAGACCAAGCACACTATTTTTAAATTTTAAATACATCGTTACACAAGATGTATTAGAAATATGGAAGGAAAAGAGGATTTTGGAGCTATATTGTAAAGTTGCATTATAAATCTGGTTTTAAACATTACATTTGAGCAAGCTGTTCCATCATTAATGTTTCTCATGAATCTAACAAGGGTGAACTATCAAACTTTATTTCCAAAATTAAAATATGTGAGTTCTTTGGAATGACTTATGAAATTCTCTTTCAGCTAGAATTTAAGGTGTAGTAACTTCTAAGTGTGGAATTTCAGGTCTCTATCTATCTAAAAAGATTTCTTTCTTGGTAAAGGGAAAGTTTCCCACCTACATCTTCTCCCCACAAAGATGTTCTATCATTTTCCTAACTTATTAACTCAAATTTACTACCTGTTATTTTCTATTATTTATTCAACAAATACCTAACTGCCTCCTAGGAGCAAAATAGCAGGTACAATTCTTAACACATCAAGGATTTAGAATTATGCTAAGATATGTACCAATTCAGTCAATTTTTTAAAATACAAAATAACAAAGCAACCTTCACATTTCACAATTGTGCCTGAAAATTTTCCTTTTTTTGAAAAGAAGAGAGAGAACTTTTGGGTAAGAATGATGTTCATAGGAAAACCTTTCCCTAAATTCCTGATTCTCCTAATACATATAAAACAACTGTCTCTGCAATCACATTGAAAATCGTGTCAACTTAAACTTAGAAAATTTTATCATCCTCCCTGTTAATTAATAGATTATATATTTCTACTGACATATATGATTTTTAAATTCACTTTTAGAAATAACTACTGAAATATTCAGAGATACAATCATATGACCTAAGTTCTGCTTTCAAAAGAATATGGAAAAAAAAAAAAGAATCCAATGAAAGAGGAAGCAGGTGTGGATATAGACAAGTAACACTTGCCATTGCTTGACAGTTTTTACAGCAAGGTGATGAGAATTATGAGAGTTCACTGTACTTTCTTTTTTTTTAAATTTGTATTTATTTATGATAGAGAGAGAGAGAGAGAGAGAGAGAGAGAGAGAGAGAGAGGCAGAGGGAGAAGCAGGCTCCATGCACCGGGAGCCCAACGTGGGACTCGATCCCGGGTCTCCAGGATCACGCCCTGGGCCAAAAGCAGGTGCCAAACCACTGCGCCACCCAGGGATCCCTTCACTGTACTTTCTACTTTTGTGCCTGTCTGAAGTTTTCCGTAATAAAGTATTAAATTTTTAAAAAGATGTACTTATTTTAGAGAGAGAGACAGAGTGTGTGCAAGTAGGGGGAGAGGCAGAGGGAGAGGGAGAGAGAATACTCAAGTAGACACCCTGATGAGCACAGAGGCTGCCATGGGGCTCAATCCCAGGACCCTGAGATCATGACCTGAGCTAAAATCAAGAGCCAGATACTTAATTGACTGAGCCATCCAGGCACCCCATAAAGTATGATTTTTTTTTTTTTATTCATGAGAGACACAGAGAGGCAGAAATATAGGCAGAAGGAGAAGCAGGCTCCCCGCAGGGAGCCCAATTTGGGATTCTATCTGAGGACCCCAGGGTCAGGCCCTGAGCTGAAGGCAGAGGCTCAACCGAGTCACCCAGGCATCCCTAAAGTATGAATTCTTCAAAACCTAGGGATACCTGGGTGGCTCATTGGCTGAGCCTCTGCTTTTGGTTCAGGGCGTGATCCTGGAGTCCCAGGATCGAGTCCCGCATCGGGCTCCCTGCATGGAGTCTGCCTCTTTCTGTGTGTCTCTCATGAATAAATAAATTAAATCTTTAAAAACAAAACCAAAAGTTAGACACTAGGAGGAAATATGCAAAAATGATAACATGCATGTTTGAGTGAAGATACTAAAAATGTTTTCTCCTTATAGTTTTCTGTACTCTGTATTCTAGTTGAGCATTTTCACTTTTTGTATGGAAAAACAAAAAAAAATTTTTTTTAAAGAGAGTCTTACTAAGTTCTTTCATGCCTTTGTTCCTAGTCTTGCCGCTTTCTGTATTAGGACCATGTATTTCATAGATTACCTGAACAAACACGGATTTTTCCTTTTCATGGTCTCACATTGTAAAGCTGTATATGTACATGAAATTGCCATATCTTGATCTTGCCTTTGTAATTTAGGGTTCTCCAGTTATGAGGCCTTCGGCAAGCTACTTAATCTCTTTGACTCTCTATTCACCTTTTTTTTTTTTAAAAGATTTTATTTATTCATGAGAGACATACAGAGAGAGGCAGAGATATAAGCAGAGGAAGAAGCAAACTCCTTTCAGGGAGTCCGATGTGGGACTCCATCCTTGGACTCCGGGGATCACACCATGAGCCGAAGGCAGACGCTCAACTTCTGAGCCACCCAGGTGTCCCTCAATTTATCTTTTAAAGTAGAAAAAAAATAAGCCAAACCAGAGACATATATGATAATGTATGCAAATAAGACAGGGAACACTTGAATTCCAAATACTGTGCTAGGAACTTTATACACATTTATTCCTCTCAAAAATAGCTCTTTTAAGTAAGAAAAATATGACTAGCACGTTATTAGTTAGCAAAGGATACGAACATACAATTAATTTATTCAATTAACAAATAAATACTTATTCAGCAGCTACTATGTTTTAGGCACCAAACTAAAAGCAATACCAATGGTCAATAAGCATGTGGACAAATGGTCATCTATCTTAATCATAGTCAAAGGAATGCAAGTGAAAATAAAAGTAACTTTTCCATTTTTCACTCATCAAATAGTCTACATTTAAAATAAATTTTTTCTCCAGGATTACATGAATATAGTGTTTTGGGATCTCTTCTACCATGTGGGCTGATGGATTTATGATCTTCCTAAAGGGACTTAAGCAATGCGTATAAAAAACCTATCTAAAAAACGTCCAACCAGAGAATGAAGCACTCCTAGTCATTTGTGGTTTCTATATACTATTTGAGGATGTACCAAAATATCATAAAAAAGATGACTCCTTGGAAAATGGCTACTTCAAGATGGGAGGTAGGAAATGAGCAAGGCGAGCCCTGAACATCTTGTGGCAGACAGCAAGCAAGTGATCAAAGACTAATGGTGTCATATCAAAAGGACAGGGGAAACAGTTGGAAGAGGCTCCGTGTCCGAAACATGGAACAATTTTGGTATCAAGGAAAGTACAACCAGATTGTATTTAAATATATTAAGTATGCTACATACCCCCAAAATACTTCTAAACTCGTAAGTTATTATGGCAGAATGCAAGGCAACCAACTCATTATTTTGAAAACTAATATAGAGAAAGAAAGAAGCATTTATCCTGCCTTTCCTTACTGTAACATGGATAACCAAATGGTAGTTAAAGGGAAGTTTTTCTTCATAAAAATATTCTGGCTAATAAAGGAAGGTATAATTTGTAATCCTTAATGGATTAATAGATCAACCAAACAATAGTTGCTTACATCATAAAAAGACACCTAAGTGTTGTGTCTCAATATTTCAGCAAAAAAAAAAAACCCAAAAACCAAAACAAAACCAAAAACCAAAACCCTCAATCTGATAAAGCCTCTAGATACCAAACTACCAATTTATAGGCAATACAAAGGATAGAGAAGCATGTTAAATGATGTCATGGGATGCAGTCAGCAAAAACCAGGCTCTGACAAACTCTACAATGCAAACAATCTACTTTCTTCAGAAAATAAATTACTAGGGGAAAAAAAGGATGAGGAAGAATGCATAGATTGAGACTTCAGAGATGTAATAACTGCAATTTGTGGACATAATTTGGATCTCAATGAACTTTTTAAAAAAAATCAACATTTATCAAACAATTAGAAATTGGAAGACTGATTATCGGATTTGTAATGGCAGTATTGTCTGTTTTTTTGTTTTGTTTTTTAAGAAGACTCCACATCAGCATAGAACCCAACACAGGGCCTAAACCTACGACCTTGAGATCAAGACCAGAGCTGCCATCAAGAGTTGGACACCTAACCAACTGAGCCACTCAGGTGCCCTGCCATTTTCTTTTTTAAAGGACTGAAAATATTTTCTCAAATTGTGATATATTTTAGAGATACATACTGAAATATTTATGGATGAAATTATGTAGCTGGGATTTACTTCAAAGCTGATATGAGGGTGGGGGAATGGGTGGGAATACAGATAAAACAAGAATGGCCATGAGCTGATAATTACTCTAGCTGGTGATGGGGGTACTAGGGGTATATTATAAGATTTTGTGTGAACAGAAAGTTTCAGAACCGTATATTCATTTTGACTTAGCACTTCCTTTTCAGGAATTTACCTTAAAGAGATATCACACATATACAAAATAATTTATATGCAAGGATATTTATTATAGGATTGTTTGAAAGCAAAGAATAATGAAAAAAACTAAATCGACAGGATAAATTATGAAACACATACTATGCAGCTGTTAAGGAAGCATAAGGCAACTATTTATGTATTGATATCCAATTTCAAGGTATAAGGATAAGCAAAAATAGCAAGTATAGAAATTTGCTACCATTTATGTAAAAAACTTTTATAAACAGTGTTATGTGCATATCTACACTTAGGCAAACATAAAAATCAGGAAGCATATACAAGAACTTGATATACTGATAGGGACATAGAGTACAGGGTGGGAAGGGGCAGAGATAGTGTGGAGATTGACTTGTGTCTGTCTATCAAATCAGAGCTTTAAAATATTTGTCCTGTGCATGTTTTAACTATTCAGAGTGAGTTTTTATTTATTTTTAAATATTTTATTTATTCATGAGAGACACAAAGAGAGACAGAGGCAGAGACATAGGCAGAGGGAGAAGCAAGCTCCCTGCAAGGAGCCTGATGCGAGACACGATCCCAGATCATGGGATCAGGACCTGAGCCAAAGGCAGACGCCCAATCACTGAGCCATTGAGGCGTCCCTCAGAGTGAGTTTTTAGTGTCATAGCTTCAGTGTCATCCTAATCATTAAACCACTTAAGAATGACACACAGAATACTACTTTCTAATCCGGTGTAAGCAGTGACACATGTAGAAAATACAGGTGTCCTAGCGAACACTCAGGATTACTGAGAAGATGGATGGCCTGGGGACACAACAGGCCCTATACCCCAGACACTTGCCTGGACTGAGGGGATGCTTCTTGAGACTCACAAGTTCTGATCGAGGTATCAATGGGGTTGGATCAGGGCTCTTTTTCCCATCATTGTCATCTGGAGTTATATCAAAATTCTGAAAATGCAATTAATCCACAACAGGTGAAATTCTAGATATTACATTTAAAATGAGCTTCGAACTTTAAAGAGACAGGATTCAATTAGCGGGGATTTTATTCATATTTAGTTTCACAAATGGTAATCATCTATAATTTGTTTCTTGGAGCCATTCTTATTGAATTTTTTTAAATCATAATTTTATTTAGCCTTGAAAATAAACTGGCAAGCTTCTTTCAGGGATTATCTATCTGTTCCTTAAAGTGTTAGTAGGTTAAACAGTTTTCTTTAAAGAGGCAGACTGACTTTTTATATCCTTCTCCAATCATTGATTTATTCAGGTATTCCATATCTTCTTGAACTTTGATATTTTTATAAAAATCCATTCTCCTTAAATTTCCAAATATATTAAAGTCATGCATAGTAGCTATTTAAAAGAAATAATATACCCCTTCCTTATTCGTAATGCTAAATGTTTTTTTTTCCTAGATCAGGGTTGCCAATTGTCCATCTTATATTGCTAAATAAACAATCTTCATATTAAGCCTACTGTTGTTTTCTATTTTATTATTTTTTGTTTTTAATGATTGTTCTTCCTGTTGATTTGGGTTTATGTGGTAATTGTCCTCTAATTTTTAGAGTTGACCATTCATTCAATGTGCTTAGTATGTAACCGGCAATGCATAGGAGCTGGAGATCCACATTTGGAGAACAAAAGCCCCCATCTTCAATCCTTAGGTTGACAGGAACATGGCTTTGGCTATACTGAACTGGTTTTGATGTGTAGAATTTTTTTTTTTTTTTTTTGCTTTTGAAGTTATATTTGAAGGTCACTTTAGATTTCTAAATGGGTAGATTTCTTTTGGCTACTCTTCTGTTAATTTCTAATCGTGTGACTTTCTAGCTTTAAATATCATGAAGACCTCATGATAATTATACGTGACTACTGTTTTCTAGAATGAAGTTTCATAATAAGTGGTTATGAAGGCTTTTTTGATATTTGATGCATTCATAAGGCCCTCTTCTCACAGGAACTCAACATAAATACTGTTATTAATTAAGAATGGTAACTAAAATTTATTGAACACAGGCTTTATATAAAATATCTGATAGTCATTAGGAAAACTCTATTAGGTAAGTAAAATGGTCACTGCTTAAAAATAAATTGAGGAACAGGAAGACTATATTATTTGTCTAATGCTCTACAGTCAGTAACTGGTAGAACTGAGATAATGTTAAGTAAGATGTAGGTCATGGTAAAAGGCACATTCACAAAATATCTTAATAAGGTCATTTTCTATTAGGAATTCTCAGAAGTTTAACACATTTTGAGTGGTAATAAAAAGGTTTTCCATATTCATATTAATATTTTTTCGGCATAAGTTTTCTGATGCTTACTTAGTAAGTAGTGTGAGGCAAAAAGAATTCCCACATTTATTGAATTTTCTTCTGGTATAAGTTATCTGATATTCCATAATGGAAGTGACAAGTGAAGGTTTTCACATTAATTACATTACATATACATTATCTAATACTGAGTCAGGTGTGAACTCCATGTAAAGGCTCCTATACCCCTAACATTCAAGGCTTTTTAACCGGTATGAATTCTGTAGTGTTCGATGAGCTGTGAGCCAAGAATAAAGGCCTGCCCACATTCTCTACATTCGTAAGGTTTGATCCCAGGATGAATTCTCTGATGTTCAGTAAGTTGTGAACTACGAATAAAGGCCATTCCACATTCCCTACATTGATAGGGTTTCTCACAAGTATGAATTCGCTGATGATGAGTCAGTTGTGAAACACGAATAAAGGCTTTCCCACATTCCTTACATTCATAGGGTTTGTCACCTGTATGAATTCTTTGATGTTGAATAAGGTATGAACTACGACTAAATGCCTTCCCACAGTCCTTACATTCATAAGGTCTGTCACCTGTATGAACTCTCTGATGTCGTGTAAGCTGTGCATGTTGTCTAAAGGCCTTCCCACATTCCTTACATTCATAGGGTTTCTCCCCAGAATGAATTCTTTGATGTCGAGTAACTTCTGAACTATGAATGAAGCCCTTCCCACATTCCTTACACTCATAGGGTTTCTCACCAGTATGAATCCTCTGGTGGACAGTAAGCTGTGAATGCTGTCTAAAGGCTTTCCCACAGTCTTTACACTGATAGGGTCTAGCACCTGTATGAATTCTCCGATGAACAGTAAGTTGTGAGCCACGAATAAAAGCCTTCCCACAGTCTTTACATACATAGGGTTTCTCACCTGTGTGAGTTCTTTGATGCAGAATAAGTTGTGAATGCTGTCTAAAAGTCTTCCCACATTCTTTACACTCATAGGGTTTGACACCAGTATGAAGTCTTTGATGCAGAATAAGTTCTGAAGTACGGCCAAAGGCCTTCCCACATTCCTTACAGTCATAAGGCTTCTCACCTGTATGAATTCTCTGATGCTGAACAAGGTGTGAGGCACGACTAAAGGCCTTCCCACATTCCTTACATTCAAAGGGTTTTTCACCAGTATGAGTTTTCTGATGCTGAATCAGGTGTGAGCCACGGCTAAATGCTTTCCCACATTCATTACATTCAATCAGTTTCTCACCAATCTCATTGTTCTGATGTAAAGTGAGAGATGTATGCTCAAAAGTGGGAATGTTTTCATATGTGACTTTTACTTGCTTGAAACAGCATTCCTGAGTTACTCGTTGTCTTTCAAATTGGCCTTTGTATTCCCAGTCATCTCTTAAACCGGAGCCATCAAAATCACAGCGTTTAAGGCTTTCTACTATCTCCCAACTGAATGACTCTACTTCAGAAATATCTTTTTGTGGAAATTTCTCACATCTGGACTCCAGCTCTGAAAAAGAAAAAATAAATACAAGCAGTTTTATTCTTTTAAGAGAAATAAAAAATTATATAGCAGACTAGAGAGACAAAATAAAAATCACCTTAAAAAGTGAATGGCTTATTTAAGTCTCAAATACTGCTGTGCAATTTCTTTTTTTTTTTTTAAAGATTTATTCATTTATGATAGACAGAGGGAGAGGCAGAGACACAGGAGGAGGGAGAAGCAGGCTCCATGCCGGGAGCCCGACGCGGGACTCGTTCCGGACTCCAGGATCGCACCCTGGGCCAAAGGCAGGCGCCAAACTGCTGAGCCACCCAGGGATCCCTGCTGTGCAATTTCTAAAGAGTACATGAAAGCAGAAATATGATGAGAGCTCATATGGTGCCAGAAAGGAGCAAGAAAAGAAAAGAAACTAAGCTGGGGTTTCTCAATTTTTATAAAGATTAGAATCATTCGAGAAAACTGTTAATAATATAAATGTCTAAGACCACCCTAGATTGAATCAAAATCTAAGGAGTACGGACAAGGTTGCTTGTCCAAGGTATGCTTGTTCTGCATATGCTTGCCTGTATTTACATATCTATATACACTTATATATATATATTAAATACATATATATTTCAATTGAGATAAAATTCATAAAATACAAATTCCCTCCATTTTAAAGACTACAATTTAGTAGTTTGTGATACTTCCCAATGTCATGCAACTATTACCACTATCTAGTTCTAGAACATTCTTATCACTCCAAATAGAAACCTTGTGCCCATTAATGAGTCATTCATCACTCTCCATTCCCTCTATCCCCCACCAATCACTAATGGCGGAGAACCATTAACTCTGTCTCTATAAATTTGCCAGTTTCTGGGCACTTCATATAAACAAAGCATCTATTTTTTTAAAAAAGATTTATTAATGTTAGAGAGAAAGAGAGACAAAATGGAAGAAGGGGCAGAAGGAGAGAATCTCAAAATAGATGCTCCACTGAGTGCAGAGCCCAATATGGGGCTGGATCTCATGACCCTGATATCATGACCTGAGCCAAAACCAAGAGTTGGACTGAGCCACCCAGGTGCCCCAGCATTTATGTTCTTAAACACTTTCCAGCACATGATGCTAATGCCAATAAAAATGAAAATCCCTGCTTAAAATTTTTCCTAGCCTCAGTGCACTTCCAAAGTCACTGGAAAAATTCCAATAAATTCCAAAGTCATTGCCATGGTTCACAGGCTCTTGGCAAAGCGAGTCCCTGCCTATCTTTGTTGTTATTCTCTTTTAACCAGGGACAATGCATCTTCATATTGAACACTCTCTCCTTTGCTCCTTGTGTATTAAGCCACAAGCTTTCTAAAATAAATGTAGGTCTTTTCCATCCTAGATCTCTCATCAAGTTCTTCCATCTAGCAGGAATCCTGTCCTGGGCTCTTTGTATGACTGCCCTTTTTTTTTTTTTTTTTTTTTTTAATGACTGCTTTTCTCTTCCTTCAAGTCTCAGATTAAAACTCACATTTTTGGAAAATATTTCAGCCTGATTCTTTCTTCCATCTCTTGCACCTGGTCTTCATAACACTTTTTATCAGTTGTAATTAGATTTTAATCTAGTTATTCATCTGTTGACCTTTTGTTTTGTTTCTCCTAAGTCTCCCAAAAGGTAGAAATATAGCCTTTCTTTCTTTCCTTTTTTTTTTTTTAAAGGCTCCATGCCCAGCATGAAGCCCAATGCAGGGCTTGAACTCACAACCATGAGATCAAGACCTCAGCTGAGATCAAGAGTTGACACTCAAAAAAAAAAAAAAAAAAAAAAAAAGAGTTGACACTCAACTGACTGAGCCATCCAGGCATCCCAAAAATATGCCCTTTCTTCCTAGCTATTATAACCAAACCCTAGAATATAAAAAAAAATTTAATAATGGGTTGTTTGATGAATAAATATTGGATTCTAGAAACAGACCAATAAAGCACAAAAGGCCAGGATAGGACTGAAGTTTATATGGAAATTGAATTTATTATAAAGGTGGTGTTTCAAAGGAAAAAAGAATAACTTTTGTAAGAAATAATGTTGGGGCAACTGGATACTCATTTGGAAAACGATAAAAATGTAACCATATATTACGCCACTACATACCAGAATAAACTCCAAATAGTTTTAACATTAAGAGAAAATAGAAACCATACAAATACTAGGAGAAAGCCACCCAGGGATCCCTGGAGACATTTCTCCAAAGAAGAGATACAGATGGCCAACAAATACATGAAAAGATGCTCAAAATCACTTATCGTTAGGGAAATGCAAATCAAAACTACAATGAGATATCACCTTACACCTGTCAGAATGGCTAAAATAAGAAACACAAGAAACAACAAATATTAGCAAGGATGAGAAGGATAGGGAACCTTGGGGACTGTTGGTGAGAATACACATTGGTGTAGTAGCCCTTGTGGGGTTGGAGTATGGATGTTCCTCAAAAAATTAAAAGTGGGGCAGCCCAGGTGGCTCAGCAGTTTAGTGCCGCCTTCAGCCCAGGGTGTGATCCTGGAGACCGGGGATAGAGTCCCGCGTTGGGCTCCCTGCATGGAGCCTGCTTCTCCCTCTGCCTGTGTCTCTGCCTCTCTCTCTCTCTCTCTCTCTCATGAATAAATAAATAAAACCTTAAAAAAGAACTCTTTAAAAAAATAAAAAATGGGATTACTCTATGATCCAGGAATCACACTACTGGGTACTTACCCCCAAAACACAAAAACACTAATTCAAAGGGATACATGCACCCTTACATTATTGTAGCATTATTTAGCCGAACTATGGAAGCAACCTAAGTTTCCATTGATAGGTGAATGGATTAATAAGATATGGTACATATGTACATGGAATATTCAGCCATAAATAAGAATGAAATCTTGGTGTCTGCAACAACATGGATGGAGCTGGAGAATATAATGCTAAGTGAAATAAGTCAGAGACAAATACTGTATGATCTTGATCTCACTCATGTGTAATTTAAGAAAACAAATGAGCAAAAGAAAAAAAGGGAGAGACAAACTAAGAAACAGACTCTTAATTACAGAGAACAAACTAATGGTTACCAGATGGTGAGGTAGGTGGAGGGATGGGAGAAATAGGGAATGGGGATTAAAGAGTACGCTTACCGTGATGGGAAAAAGAAATAAAATTATTTTTTTTAAAGTGGAAAAAAACCTCCACCACCAAACCAAATTGACATAGAGTGGTAGCTGCTGCCCACCCCCCTCCCCGGCCAAGATGTCCACATCCCAATTGTGGAAACCTGTGAATAGTACACAGCAAAGGGTAATTAAGATTGCTACTCAGCTGACCATGAGATAGGGATTACCTGGGTAGGCTCATTGTAATCACAAGGGTCTTCTAAGTGAAAGAGAGAAGTAGGAGAGTCAGAATCAGAGAGGGAAATTTGAAGATGTTATCCTGCTGACTTTGAAGATGGAAGGGGGGTATGATCCAAGGAATGCAAGCTGGAAAAGGCCAAAAAAAAAAAAAAAAAGGTTCTCCTTCTAAAGAAAGGATGCAGAAAGGAATATAGCCCTGCAGACATCTTGGTTTTAGCTCACTGAGATGTTATTTTGAACTTCCAATCTCCAGAACTGTAAAATAATAAATTTGTATTGTTGTAAGCCACCAAGTTTGTGGTAATTTGTTACAGAAGCCACAGGAAAATAATAAACACAGAAAGAAAACTTGAGTACTTTATTGATGTATCTACCACACCTGATCAATCTTAACCTTGGAGTCCACTCTCCCATGGAAATGTGGGTTAGAGTCAAAGTACAAAGAAAAGTCAGAAGGTTGGTTCTCAGTTTTTGAACTCTGAAGTGCAGATGTCTTGGTGATTTAAAGCTAATTCAGGTATATGGCAAGTTCAAGGTTAGTGTTCTCCAGCATCAAAATTGATGCTAAGTGTTCATCTGTTGGTGCTGATCTGTAATGAGATTTTATGTTTATTTCATCTTTGGAAATGTTTCCTATAGCTATTACTGCCAAATACTAACATCAATCCACACACATATCATTTTAATTGTGTATATGCACCCCTTCGAAGACATTTACAGAATTTGATAGGCTCACAGGCCATATAAAAAAGGCAGCAGGCTGGATGGCCCACCGACTATAGCATGCAGATGACTGGCTTACATCTTTATAGCTAGTGAGGAATAATGCATACTATAAATTTATGAAATATTATAAGAACAATGATGGTATGAAAATAGAATTCATTAAAACAAAATCAGAGTGGGTTGGGGTGAGGGTGAATCTAGGCGACAGTCAATAAATTTTTTTGTAGAGGACCACATAGTAAATTTTTTGTTCTTTTTTTTTTAAGATTTTATTCATTTATTCATGAGAGACGAGAGAGAGAGAGAGAGAGAGAGAGAGAGAGAGAGAGAGAGACAGGCAGAGGGGAAGCAGGCTCCATGCAGGGAGCCTGATGTGGGACTCGATCCCGGGTCTCCAGGATCACGCCCCGGGCTGAAGGCGGCGTTAAACCAGGGAGCCACCTGGGCTGCCTGGCAATAATTTTTAAAAAAAGGATAAGCAAAGATGTCATAATTTTTAAGCCAACAAAAAGAAGGCACTTGATGGAATATCAGAAAAAAACAGAATTCAAGGTTAAAAGCACCAAGTGACATAATAAAGGAAGGAGTATACTGATGAAAGTACAGCTTGCAACAAGGATCTAAAATTCATCTTTATAGAAGTGTAAAATGCAGTAACATTACTTATAGTACAAGAAACAGCTCTCAGAATTTCATAGCACCAGCACAGACAAAATTAAAAGGACACAAAGATTCTGAATAATATAATCAAAAGGGTTAGAGGTAAACAGAAAGGCAAGTATATCGCCCAAGGAATACTAGTTTTTTTTTAATTTTTAAAAAAAATTTTATTTATTTATGATAGTCACAGAGAGAGAGAGAGAGAGAGAGAGAGAGAGAGAGAGAGAGAGGCAGAGACACAGGCAGAGGGAGAAGCAGGCTCCATGCACCGAAAGCCCGATGTGGGATTCGATCCCGGGTCTCCAGGATGGCGCCCTGGGCCAAAGGCAGGCGCCAAACTGCTGCGCCACCCAGGGATCCCGGAATACTAGTTTTAAATATATGTGAAGAACATTTAGCGAAATTGGAACAACTTGACTTAGTGACGACATTGGAAGAGAAAAGGCAGTGGTATGATTTGTTCTTGGGGCTCAGAAAATTTACTGCTAATACAGATTCCATTCTCATTTAAATATCCTACAAGAAAGAAGGTAGAAAAAAGACATTTTCATGCAATCAAAACCACAGAATTTGTTGAGCAGACCTACACAAAAGGAAATTTTAAGGGTGTTCTTTATTTTATTATTTTTTTTAAACACTATATTTTTCCCTTGAGCAGATTTTTTTTTTAATTTTTTATTTATTTATGATAGTCACAGAGAGAGAGAGAGGCAGAGACACAGGCAGAGGGAGAAGCGGGCTCCATGCACCGGAAGCCCGATGTGGGATTCGATCCCGGGTCTCCAGGATCGCGCCCTGGGCCAAAGGCAGGCGCTAAACCGCTGCGCCACCCAGGGATCCCAAGGGTGTTCTTTAGACAGAGAAAAAATAATCCCAGATGAAAATAAACAACAATAACAGAGAAGTTGCAGAGGGTATTCAAAGTATTCAAAGATTCCAATATTGTGCAGCACATGCTAATTAATAACACTTGATAATCTTTACTTAGTGGTCACTACTGCCTGCCATTGTTTTGGGCATTTTCACATTATTAATTCCTATAACAATCACAACAATAACTATATGAGGAAGGCTCCGTTTTTATCTCATTTGCAGAGGAGAAACCTGAAGCACAGAGATTTTAAGCAATTTATCTAAACTCACTAATCTAGTAATTGGCAGACACAAGATTTGAACTCAGTCTGATTCCCAAGGCAGTGCCCTTAGCCACTACACAGTCTTCTCTCCCAAACATTTGGGAATTAATGAATTGCTTAATTGGGTAAAGTGAGCTGTTTGATAAAAACAAAACAAAATAAGTTTTTTTTTTTTTTTGGATTTTATTTATTTATTCACGAGAGACACACAGAGAGAGAGGGGCAGAGACACAGGCAGAGGGAGAAGCAGGCTCCATTCAGGGAGCCCGACGCAGGACTCGAGCCCAGGCCTCCATGATCACACCCCTGGCTGAAGGCAGCACTAAACCGCTGAGCCACCAGGGCTGCCAGAAAATTTTTTAAGGGATGAAGTTACTTGCAGGAAAAAGGATCCAAAGTACAAGTAAAAAGGCAGCCGCTGGGGAAGAAGGGAGCATGTCCCTTTTTGAAATGGGAGGAAAATATGCAAGAAGAAAGAAGAGGGAGGGACTAATAGGGGGTAAGGGCAAGGGATGCTGACAAGATCTTTGCTCTTTTGTGTCTGCATGTCTCAGGCTGTTTGTTCCACAGTTTTCTATATGGCTTGGAGGGAAGCTTCTCAACAATAACTTAAGTTATTGCTATCGGTGTACACACCCACTGGCTATTATTCCCAATGTCCTCCCCCACTGGATCACCCCTCGCTCACCTGGACACCACAGTCCTGTCATATCATTTGTAATCATCCAGGGTTCTCTCCCTTGCTCCAATAAGGAAATGACATCAGGCTTAGAAATGGAAAGTCCTGTTTATAGGAAAAGAAATGGAGCATGATTGTCCTGTTCCAAAATTCAAACCCAGTCCCTTAGTCACCAAGAAAGAGAGACATTATGAAGGAAGGAATGAAGGAGGAGTAAAGTTTGTTCAAAGGACAGGAAGACAGAGGTGACCATGGAACTACCCGTTTCCACTTCCATAAAGCACAAACGAGTCCCTTGGGAACCGAGAACAGAAATTCAGCCAGAAACTAAGTGTCCTTAAACATTTATCATGAAGATACCAGAAGTTCCAGAAGGCTAGTCTAGAATTACTTAGAGTAGATAACTATGGTTATCATTCTTCATTTGCCCTCTCCTCCCCGCTGCCATTCCTCTCTGTTCTTGGTCCTGCTCTGTGCCCCAGACAGGTCACCTGACAGGACGGTATTATTCTGGCTCCATGGTTTCTCATTGGGTTTAGCATATGGAAAGAATCAGCAGGAAGCCAGTGGGTAGAATAAGAGAGTTCATGGTATTTATCCCTCTCCCTCCCTCCTCTGACCAAGGAGTTCTGGAAGTTGCTACTATTGCTGCTAGCTGGGCCCTTCTCCATGACTCCAGCTCTCACCATTGTCCAGTGCAGTTTTCTCCCTTTACCAGAGGTGGTAACAACTTCCTTATGTTGTACGCCCTGGGAACCTGCATCCTTACCTAGTGAGACCAAGTTACTGAAGTTCTCCAGAGTCACATCCTTGTACAAGTCTCTCTGTGCAGGTTCCAGGCACTTCCATTCTTCCTGAGAGAACTCTATGGCTACATCCCTGAATGTTACCAATCCCTGAAATAATAAACCCATGCATTACTAGTAAATGAAAGGACTTTTATTTTTTCATTTATTACAAAAAAATTTCAAAATACAACAAAGTATTCAGAGTAGGATAATGATCTCCACGAATCTATCACTCTGCTTTGACAATTAACATGATTTTGCAAATCTTGTTTTATTTCTTCTTCTTTCTTTTTTACCACTGGTATATTTCTTTTTTTTATTTTTTTATTTATTTTATTTTTTATTCATTTATGATAGTCACACACAGAGAGAGAGAGAGAGAGAGAGAGAGAGAGAGAGAGAGAGGCGCAGAGACACAGGCAGAGGGAGAAGCAGGCTCCACGCACCGGGAGCCCGACGTGGGACTCGATCCCAGGTCTCCAGGATCGCGCCCCGGGCCAAAGGCAGGCGCCAAACCGCTGCGCCACCCAGGGATCCCCCACTGGTATATTTCGAGGCAGATCCCACAGACCAAATACCCAACATCATAGTATTTTACCCATAAATATTTTAGTATTTGACAGATCATCTTTTTTTTTTTTTTAAGCATAACAGCCAGGGACGCCTGGGTGGCTCAGGGGTTGAGCGTCTGCCTTTGGCTCAGGGCATGATCCCAGGTCTGGGGATGAGTCCTGGACCAGACTCCCTGCGAGGAGACTGCTTCTCCCTGTGCCTATGTCTCTGCCTCTCTCTCTCTATGTCTCTCATAAATAAATAAATTCAAAAAAATATTAAAAAAAAGCATAACAACCAGAATATCATTATTATACTTAATAAAATTAATAATTTCCTAACAACCAGATCAAATTTTAGATTGCCTCAATCTTCTAAAAGTGATTTTTTATGGCTGGTTTGTGCAAATCAATATTTAAATTAAATCTACACATTGCACTTAATGGATAGGTTTCCTTAAGTCTCTAGAATCTGTAAAGAGGCCCCAGAAACCCTTCAAAAAATTTTTATTGCTATTTGTTTTATTTTAAAGATTTTATTTATTTATTTATTCATGAGAGACACAGAGAGAAAGGCAGAGACACGGGCAGAGGCAGAGGGAACAGCAGGCTCCATGCAGGGAGTCTGATGCAGGACTTGATCCTGAGTCTCCAGGATCACGCCCTGGGTTGAAGGCAGACACTCAACTGCTAAGCCACCCAGGCGTTCCAATTGCTCTTTATTTATTAAAAAAATATTTGAATCAGTAGAATCTCCCATATTGTTGGCTTTCGCATCTTCATGGAATAGTTTAAGACGTTGCTTTACTTCTATACTTTCTGTGAAGAGGGAGTCAGATCTGGAGGCCTGATTCACATTTCTTTTTTTGGGGGGCAGGAATATGTCAGAAGTGGTGCTGTGTACTTCGTATTGCATCCATATGGAGGTACGTAATGACTGGCTGTACCATTTTATTTTTTTATTTTTTTAAATTTTTATTTATTTATGATAGTCACAGAGAGAGAGAGAGAGGCAGAGACATAGGCAGAGGGAGAAGCAGGCTTCATGCACCGGGAGCCTGACGTGGGCTTCGATCCCGGGTCTCCAGGATCGGACCCTGGGCCAAAGGCAGGCGCCAAACCACTGTGCCACCCAGGGATCCCTGGCTGTACCATTTTAAATGAGGTTAAGGGACACCTGGGTGGCTCAGCGGTTGAGCATTTGCCTTCAGCCCAGGGCGTGATCCTGGAGACCAGGGATCAAGTCCCACGTCAGGCTCCCTGCATGGAGCCTGCTTCTCTCTGTGCCTGTGTCTCTGCCTCTCTCTCTCTCTCTCTGTTTCTCATGAATAAATAAATAAAATATTTTTAAAAAAATAAATGAGGTTAAAATTGATGAGCCTGTTCAGATGTTAACAACCCGACTCATCCAGGAAAATGTCTGAAAGATCGAAAGAGAGGAGATGGAGAGTGGTGCTGAGGAAGGAGGTGGTCAAGCAAGCTAGGGTGAGGGATCCCTGGGTGGCGCAGCGGTTTAGTGCCTGCCTTTGGCCCAGGGCACGATCCTGGAGACCTGGGATTGAATCTCATGTCGGGCTCCCGGTGCATGGAGCCTGCTTCTCCCTCTGCCTATGTCTCTGCCTCTCTCTCTGTGTGTGACTATCATAAATAAATAAAAATTAAAAAAAAAAAAGCAAGCTAGGGTGGAATGCCTATGCCATGAAGGTAGTATAATAAGCACTTTTATTTGACTAGAGGCCTACATGCTTTTGAATATTCCTGAAGCTAGAGCTAAAACCTCTTTCATATAGTAGGACTCTTCTATTTTCTACATGGGTCTGGGAATGAGCAAAATCTAGGTAAGTGGGATCGTACAAATAAAATATCATAGACAAAATACAAGTAAACAAGAGTCTTTAAAGTAAAGTCTCCATGGAGATAATGAAAAAGATAGAATCCAAAATGTCTTATTAAACTCTCTTAAAATATAGGATTTATAGAAGTTTTAAAACTATCCTGAAGACTCAGGTTCATAATTAATTTGAGGATCTCAATCCGGGTTATATCTTCCACTTCAGGCATTTGGGATCATGCAGGATATGGTCTAGTTGTCACAATGTTGAGGGGGGTTGGCTGGGGTTGGGGGCAGTGTGCTGCTGGCATTTAGTGTCTTGCATCAGTAATGTTAAGTGTCCTGATTTATCTGGGCCACATACCCAGAACAGTTCCATACAATAAAGAACTGCTAAGAATGCCGACAGGGTCTCCAATGAAAAGCAGTTGGTTAGATATCATGAGCATATATTCTGTTATGGCAAATTTTATAGGAAACACAGGGATTTTTATCTGTTGTATAACAATGCATCTTATATCCTTTTTTTAAATTTTTTTTATTTTTATTTACTTATGATAGTCAGAGAGAGAGAGAGAGAGAGAGAGAGAGAGAGAGAGAGAGGCAGAGACACAGGCAGAGGGAGAAGCAGGCTCCATGCACTGGGAGCCCGATGTGGGATTCGATCCCGGGTCTCCAGGATCGCGCCCTGGGCCAAAGGCAGGCGCCAAACCGCTGCGCCACCCAGGGATCCCATGCATCTTATATCCTATTACATATAATCATCCTCTTATTTAGGAGCATCTACCTTAACCAAGATTTGCAAAATCTTTAATGTTTATTTTATCATTCTTCACTGTTTAATTCTCCTTGTTCCTGAAATAAGAAAGCTGATAGAAGGTGTACCTTGGTCACATAAATTTGACCCACAATCAACACATATTATTCAACCTCAAAAATGACCATTTTATGGTTGTTTCTCATATATTCCCTTGCAAAGACCAAAGAACTTTCTGTAATTGAAGTTCCCAATCACAGTCCCCATCCTGAAGGCCTTATAAAGAAGGAGATGTCACCACACACTGAAACCAAGACCAACCATTCCAGCTCTGACCATGTTTATACTGCAAGGGTGAGGGAGGCTTCTACTGCAAACACCTAGGCATTGGAAAAATTATAACACCTATTTAATGCTTCTCTAAGCTCTCAGGAAGGTAAGGAAAATTAAATCTCAGAGCTAACAACATGAGAAAAATACACATCACACACACATGAAATTGAACAGAGAGATAAGCAAATATGTTAGCAGGAGCCACTATAAAGTAAAACATTTTGGAGATTAACCTCAGTATGTGGCCTAAGAAACATACGAAATGGGGTAAGAATCCATGACCCTCACTTTAAAGCTGGGATCCTAAGAGCTACCCTCTCAGTAAAATGTTGGGCTTGAATGAAAACCTTGTTGGAAAAAAGTAACAAGGAACCTTCTGCATTCCAGGTGGGAAAAAAGGATTATCATTAATGATATCACTATTACTACTAACAGTAATTTCCCTTGCCAATCTACAAACCCTACTCTCAAGGTTTGAGAGTATTCCAAGCCTGGAATTTAAAGTAATATTATTCATGCACTTGGGGGAAATCCCATGTGAAAAATTAGTGTGCCAAGTTTGAGAACACTCATTGGCGCGAAACTGTTCTGAAGAAAGATGCTGCTCAGTTCCCCAAGGACTACCACATACTAAGTTAAGTAAACTAAGACAATTCAAAATTGTCAAAATTCAAAAATCAGTTTTTAAAACAAAATGGATATTCATATGCAAAGAATGAAGTTGGACTCCACCTCATACATATATAAAAATTAATTCAAAATAGGCGGTAGAACTTACATGTAAAGTTATAGAGCTAAAACTAAAACTCTTAGAAGAAAATATAGTAGTATAACTTTATGACCTTGGTCAGGCTGTGGTTTCTTATATATGGCATTATATAAGACAAAAAGCTAAAATAAACTTAATCAAAACTAAAAATGTTTGTGCTACAAATAATTCCATTAAGAAAGTAAAAATGCTGGGTGCTTGAGTGGCTCAATTGGTTAAGCATCTGCCTCTTGATTTTAGCTCAGGTCATGATCTCAGGGTTGTGAGATCAAGCTCCATTTTGGGCTTTGTGCTGAGTGGTTTGCTTAAGATTTTTTCCCTCTCCTTCTGTCCTCATCCACCCCTCTCCCTTAATTTTTTTTCCCTCTCCCTTAATTAAAAAGAAAAAAAGAATCAAATCACAAAACTGGGAGAAAATATTTGCAAATTTTGTATCTGACAAGGAACTTGTGTCCAAAATACATAAAGAACTCTTAAAATTCAATAATAAAAAAGACAAAACAATTAAAAACTAAGCAAAGATTTTGAGTAGTGATTTCTCTAAAGATCTACAAATATACAACAAGCATATGAAAAGATGTTCAATACCACTAATAGGGAAATGCAAATCAAACCCATAATAAGAGGTCACTTCACATCCTTTAGGATGACTATTACCAAAAAACCAAAATAACACATGTGAGGATGTAGAGAAATCAGAACCCTCTTACAATGCTCCAGGAATGTAAAATGGGGCAGCCATGTTGGAAAGTAGTATTGACAGTTTCTCAAAATGTTAAAAATAGGGGAAGCCTGGGTGGCTCGGCGGTTTAGTGCCGCCTTTGGCCCAGGGCCTGATCCTGGAGACCCAGGATCAAGTCCCACATCAGGCTCCCTGCATGGAGCCTGCTTCTCCCTCTGCCTGTGTCTCTGCCTCTCTCTCTCTCTCTGTGTCTCTCATGAATAAATAAATTAAAAAAAATAATTATGTAAGTACAGAGAACTTATGAACCTTGGTATACACTAATGTTCACAGTAGTGTTATTTGTGATATCCTAAAAGCAAAAATAACCCAAATGTCTACAAGTTGATGAATTAAAGAATAAAATGTGGAATATACATATCTATGGAATATCATTTGGTATAAAAATGAATGAACTACTGATAAATGCTCCAACATGGATTAAGCTTGAAAACATACTACATGAAAAAAGCCAGACACAACAAATCAAGTATGGTAAGATTCTATTCATATGACACATCCAGAACAGGCAAATCTGTGAGACAGAAAGTAAATTAGTGGTTGCCAGTGGATGAGGAGAAGAGACTGAGAGACTGCTAATGCAAATGGCACTTCTTTTTGGGGTAATGAAAATGTTCCAAAATAGATTGTGGTGATGGTTGTATAACTCTATAAATATACTAAAAAACATTGAACTTTATACTTACATGGGTGAATTGTATCATATGTAAATTATATATATAATAAGTAAAGTTGTTAAAAAATTTTATTGAGGACCTCAAAGAACTTCTGTTACTGCTGGGTATGTCTATTAATAGTTACCACATTAGAAATTACAAGTGAGAAATTTAAAAATATTAATTTACTTAAATAACCAATAATAAACCTGTTATATATTAACAAATAATATACATCTTAAAAATATTGTCAAAAAATTTAATAGCTTTGTTTTAATATTTTTGCAATCTCTTTAATGACTGGCTGAATAAAAAAGTTTATAAATAAAATCTTAAAAAAAAAAAAGGGATCCCTGGGTGGCGCAGCGGTTTGGCGCCTGCCTTTGGCCCAGGGCGCTATCCTGGAGACCCGGGATCGAATCCCACGTCGGGGTCCCTGCATGGAGCCTGCTTCTCCCTCTGCCTGTGTCTCTGCCTCTTTCTCTCTCTGTGTGACTATCATGAATAAATAAATAAAATCTTTAAAAATAAAAAAGTTTTTACATCTACTTCTGCATTCAATCTGTCAGGATAACACATATCATATAGCTTCTAGGAAACTCCACTATACACTCATTGGAGAATGTGATTGAAAAAGGCAAATAACATGTTACTATTATCTCCTGAAAGGATGTCACATGCTTTGAGAATTGCTAATCTAGTGCTACACAATTTAACATGAATGATTTGAAAACACACTGTGTTGAATATAAAAATATGGTAAAAAACATAGGGTATGATAACTGTACAAAACTTTTAAAACAGAAAACTCAACAGTATAATGCTTAGTATGCATTTGTATATGGTAAAAGTATCATAAACATCAAAGGACTGATTGACACAAAATTGAAAGCAGCCATTACCATTGGTAGGAACAGTAATGCAATGTGGGAAGTGATATGATTGGGAAGTGAATGCAGGTTGCTTAGATGGTATATTAATCTGGGTAATGAGTACACATTACTCATTTTTTTACAGCACATACCTGTTATGGATATGTTTTTGTATACATTCTTTGGTAGAATGAAATGTTTTATGATTTTTAAAGATAGAAGGAAACCACCTAGATTAATGGAAAAGATCAAACAAAGTTATCTCATCTCTAGCCCTATTTAACTATGGTTTTGATAGAGGGGGGCACTCATATTTCTCTTAAGAGAATATATTTCTGCTCCCTTGGTAAAAGCACTGTGTCCCTCTGTCTACACTGTTGGAGAAGAGTGAGCCACTAAGGAAAGTGGAGCACCCATCACTCATCTCTGGAATGGTGGAACTAGGAACAAGAATGGGGCTCAGTGAGACAGGGAAGTTTCAGGATAAAGAACCCAAATGTTTGTATGATTTGAAAGGAAGAGAGATTATTTCAAGGAGAGGGAATTTCAACTTACCTGTGCCATGGCCTTTAGAACTACCTGAGCTGCTTTGATTTCTTTAGATTCTTCTCTTAGACAAGTGCAGAGTCCTGAAAAAGCAGAGTAGGGGGAAAAAGGGAAAATCTCTCATAAACTGAGCTTGCCTAAGCACTCCTAAGTAGAGGACCTTAAAACAACTGTACTTCCAATGTCCCTGCTCTGTTTCCCTTGCCCTCCTCCTTGTTCCACCACCCAACACTAATATCAAGAACTATAGAGGCAACAAAACCCAACCTCTCCTGAAACTCTAGGGAAACTAAAAGATGGAGTCAACAAAGATATGCTCCAGCATTCACAAAGAATCCAACCACCTCAGCAGGAGGGATCCTGGCCTGATCAGTTCCCCAATCTTGCTGATGCTAATCTATATTTTATATGGGGCCTAGATGGCTCCCACCTATTCCAAGCTGATCTTCCTCTGCAGCTGCTACAAGGATCAAAACTCAGACTTGCTCACTTTATTCACTGAGGATGAGGACAGTATACACAGGTTAGGAGCTTTGCAGCACAGCATACCTGTGGAGGACAAACCTTGAGAAAAAGATATCCCTAAACAAAGTCTTCCAGCTTCTCTGGGCTCAACAGGCAAAAACCTCCTGGGTACTTCTCTGAAGCTACTTCCTCCTTCCTTCCTTTTTTTTTTTTTTTTTAAGATTTTACTTATTTGACAGAGAGAGAGAAACAGAGAAAGAGAGCACAAGCAGGGGGAGCAGCAGAGGGAGAGGGAGAAGCAGAATCCCCGCTGAGCAGGAAGTCTGATATGAGGTTCGATCCCAGGACCTTGGAATTATGACCTGAGCTGAAGGTAGATGCTTAACCAACTGAGCCACCCAGGTACCACTACTTCCTCCTTCTAAGTCCAGAAAGGAGCATCACCTACACCAGAGGCTTCATCAAAGACTCCAACCCTGCCTGAACTCACCAGACAGGAACAAGAAAATCACAGTAAATAGGTATCTTATAAGCGTACCTGCATATCCAGAGTATTGAACTGAATGGGAGCTCAATTTCTAGAAGTTTCTTGGGCCAGCACTCCTTATTTTCCATCTAAGCCTTCCCTCCTGTTTTCCTGCAGAACACCACTTCCTTACTGGCTGGTGTTTGTTAAGGCTAGAGTTCTGTGAAAAAGGGCCTATACCTCAAAGTAATGAGAACTCAGGAGTTTTAAGGAGGGTAGCAAGGCTGGTTTTAATCAGAGATGCAAGAAGCTTCCTATGGTTAGTCTTCCTTCCTATGGGTCAGAAGGAAGACTAACTTACTCAATGGCAGTGGTGTCAAGGAAAATGTCCTTTAAGTTATAAAATATGAATTGGGACTTAAAAATCAGAGAATTTTATTAGGCAGGGAAACTACAGGGAAGGATTCTGATCTGTGAAGAACAGTGACAAAAAACAGTAGACCAAAAGTATATGGTGTATTTGTGGAGAAGAGAGTAAATTGCAATGACTTGAATAGTTTGGGGAAGGGTTTAGACCAATGCTGTCCAATAAATCTTTCTGCAACGATGGAAATCTTTGTATCTGTACTGTCAATAATGTAGCTATCAGCCACGCGCACTAAGCATTTAAAAAGTGCCTAATATGACTGAGGGACTGAATTTTTTTCCTGAATTTTTAATTAAATTATATTTAATTAGTTCTAGAATCTAGAGGAAGATAATGCTGGAGATGACATCAAGGATTGGAAAATGAAGGTGAATGAATGAAAATAAGATAACAATGAGGACAAAGACCAGGTCTCATCATTGCTGTGACTGGCACTTGCCATGGTGTCTGGATGAGAAGGGTCCAATGAATACTAACTTCATGTATAAACATTTGTTTTTCACCCAGTAATGAATGCAAGGCCACTGAAGAATTTACAGAGGGAAGTAATAGGGCCAATATGGCCAGATTCTTTTATTGGAGAGGAGTAAAATTGGAGTCAGAGAGATCAATGGACAGGTACTTATACTTCTGCAAGCAAAGAACCTGACCCAGGATAATGAGAGTGGAAATAAAGAGGAAGGGTATAATTTCAAGAGGTAGAGAAGTACAATTAATAGGCTGTGGCATCTGATTAGATATGGAAGCAAAGAAAGAGAGAGGAGTCAAAAATTCTTTCAGATTTACTGAGCTCCTACCTCAACTGGCATGGTTCTAGGTGTGAGGAAGATAATAAATCCAGTCCCTGTCCCAGAGGATCTCACATTCTAATGGAAAGAGATAATAACATATATTGATAAACTGATATTGATATTCCTATTGATATGTCAGCTGGCCAAAGTTCTATGGAGAAAAATTAAGAAGAGCTTCGGGGAATGGAGTGTGGTCGGAGAAGGCTTTTCACTGAGAAGTTGATATGGAAGCACAGACTGAATGGAGTGAAAAATTTGGATATCTAAGAGAAGGGCATTCCTAGTATAGGGAACAGCAGTTGCAAAGGCCTCAAGACAGAAGTGGGCTTTCTTTGATTAATAATGAAGGAGACCAGGGTGGCTGGAATGGAGTGAAGAGAAAAAGGCTCAGAAGCTCATTTGGGTAAGAGAGATAGCGGGAAGCTGGATCACATGGGGCTTGTGCACCACTGTAAGAACTTTGGTTTTTACTTTTTAGTAAGATAAGAAGCCACGAAAATGTTTTAAAACAAGAAATGGCATAATATTACTTACATTTAAAAGGATCACTCATAGAAAGTGAACTAAGAAGACAAGGGAGGAAGCAGGGAGGTGATACTGCAGTAATCTAGGCCAGGGGTGAGGGTGGCTCACACTAGGGTGGTGATGGGGGAGGTGATGAGAACTGACCAGATTCAATATTCTTTGATGGTGGAGCTGACAAGATTTGCTGATTTTAGGTATAAAAGCAAAGAAAAACAAGAAGGAGCCATGATGACACTAAGCTGTCTGGCTTAACTAGAGGCATGTAGTTGTCATTTTTTAACACAAAGAACTGTAAGCAGGTTTGAATAAATCAATTACGAGTTTTGTTTTAGACTTTAGTACTTGAGATTACCATTACACATCACACACACACACACACACACACAGTGGGCTATAGCTTTTTAAACTTGCAACAAGGCAATGCTAGCAGAAATTAAAGTAGGTATGTCCTTCGATGAAGTAATTCCCATAGTTCAGACTATCCAAAAAATGTGTGGGGGCTATGTGATGGACACACTGTTGACACTGGAAACAGAGAATTTAGAAGCAGGATTGGTTAAAAATAAATAAATAAATAAATAAATAAATAAATAAATAAATAAATAAATAAATGCAGGATTGGTTAAATAAATTACAGTATATGCACACAATGGAAATACTGTTGCCATAAAATGAACAACACACATATTTGTTGATGCTAAGATATTAAATAAGATAGCTAATGAAACTATGTATAGTGCAATCCTATTTTTATACGAAAAACATACGTATGTTCTATACACATAGTGTGTGTATGCACATAAGACAAACTGAAAGGATTTTCTTTTCTTTTTTTTTTGAAAGGATTTTCAATTACATTTTCAACATTTGTCTCTAGGTGTATATCTATGGAAAGAATCTTTGTTTTTTCTCTATTTTCAAGTTTCCCCCTAAGCATATGGTTTATAATCATAAATAACAGAATTTATATCTTCTTCATTAGGGGCTGAATTATAAAAGGAAATATGAATGGAGTGATTCATGAGTGATAGTGAGGTCCTTTTGGGAACTTATACACTGAAGGAGTTTGATTTCCTCCATTAGTTCTAGAGCCTTCAAGAGGCTTGTTCTCAAACAATAACTTAAAGCTCCTGACTTCCCACAGAAAAAAAAGTGAGCTTTCTCATGAAAATGTTCCATTTTCCTTGGTTTCCTCACTCACCTGTGCACAGACCTCTTGTCAACCCTCAATCCAGGATATCCTCCTTGCTCCAAAAAGAAATCACACTTAGTTTACAGATGCAACTTCCTAAACATAGAAAAAGAAATGGGTCTTAGCCAATATGGTAGACATTCATTGAATTACTACTGTTTCACCATTATCCAGTTTTCCTGGATAATAAAAAAATAAGATAAAGGAACTGTACAAAGATTTGATGTGGGACTCTATCTCAGGACTCCAGGATCACGCCCTGGGCTGAAGGCGGCGCTAAACCGCTGAGCCACCCGGGCTGCCCAGAAAGAACAAGTTTTTAAAAAGTCAGAGGAAGCTTCAGAAATAACAGAGTCAGAACTGGTTCAATTCCAACTCTATAGACCTAAAAAATATTTTTCACAAACACATGATGTGAAACAAAAGGCCCCCCAAAACGCAGATTATAAATTATGGGACATGTTGATCTTGACCTAGCAAAATCATGCTTCTCTAGATTTCTAACATCAAATCTTTGTACAGTTTCTATTTTATTTCTTTTTAAATTATTTATTTATTTATTTATTTATTTATTTATTTATTTATTTATTCATGAGAGATACAGAGAGAGAGAGAGGCAGAAACACAGGCAGAGGGAGAAGCAGGCTCCATGCAGGGAGGTAGAGGCCAGGGGTCCCACATCACACAGGGACTGGGAGAAGTTGCCAGGTCATGAGAACTAGACATACACAGATACTTCCACCTTAATATTAGTAATATATTCCTGAAAAAAGCCATCATTCTGTGTAAAAACTTTAGCCAGAGCCTTTTTCCCCATTATTTAAAATGTGAAAAATATAATGCATCACATTTTAATACAAAGCCCACAAATAATTTCCTAAAACATAATTAAATACAACAAAATACCTACATATAATAAACTATTGTATTAGGTTGAAAATTTCTTAAAACATCATTTTATCTCCAGTTATTAACAACTACTTGTCTTGAGTGCCATGAACACCTGCATATCCCTTTTGTTAACACACCAATCTATGTACCTGTCAAAATATTTACATGATTGATGTTTTATTAATTGTATTTCTTTTTTTTTTTAAAGATTTTATTTATTTATTCACGAGAGACATAGAGAGAGGCAGGGACACAGGCAGAGGGAGGAGCAGGCTCCATGCAGGGAGCCCGACGTGGGACTTGATCCCGGGTCTCCAGGGTCACCCCCTGGGCTGAAGACGGCGCTAAACCGCTGAGCCACCCGGCCTGCCCTATTAATTGTATTTCTGATGTAACTTGAAACTTATCCTATATGTTATATTTTAAATGTTGTGTTGAATTTTATGGATATAAACATACATTTTTTCCAGTATAAACATTAACCAAAAATCATTACAATGAGAGAGATATATATTCTTAAGCGATATTTAGTATTCTAAGTAAGACAAGAGCAGATAAGGTTAAATAAAAGAAAAATTTCTATAAAACAGTAATTCTAATTACTCACAAATTTAGTAGTAATAGTTAATAACACAAAAATGTTTAAGATATGATTAAACTTAAAAAAGCAGGTTACAAAACAGTTGGGCATCATGTGGTCCTATTTGTAAAACATAAAGTTATATCAATATAGACATTATAGACAAACTAGATGAAAAGTGTCTCGCAAGTTTTATCCTTAAAGATTACTTTGGTTATCTCTGGGTTGTGATCTTCGATGTTCTTAGTTTTACTTAAGTGCATGTTTTTTCAATAACTATGTATTAATTTTTAAATTATTATTATTTAAGTTTTGTTTAAGTGATCTCCATGCCCAAAATGGGGTTTGAACTTACAAACCTGAAATCAAGAGTCATATATTCTCCCAACTGAGCCAGCCAGGCACCCCCAATTTTTTGTTTTAAGATTTTTTTTTTTTAATTCATAAGAGACACAGAAAGAGGCAGAGACATAGATAGAGGGAGAAGCAGGCTCCCTGCAAGGAGCCTGATGCAGGACTCAATCCCTGGACCCGGGATCACGCCCTGAGCCAAAGCCAGATGCTCAACCACTGAGCCACCCAGGCGTCCCCAGGCACCTCAATTTTTAAATTATTTTTAGATTCTGTTAAATGTTAGCTATTCTCAAATAGTAGATGAAAAACAAAATACTTACTTTTTTAAAAAAAACAATCTTCCCTTGAACATGAAATAATAGCTTATGATACTCTAAAAATAGTTGTATTTTCACAGAATGGCTTTTGGTTTTGCTTTGTCAGCTTCCAATAGTTGCAAACTTCTTGATTTGGTAACTATATTCATGTGTGCTGTAGTCCTGCCTGAAAAAGAATGAAAAATCATTAGGACCATGTCCTATGTATAAGTGGTGCTTCCTTTCAGCTCTTCTTGTCAGACGGTCTATTATGTTTCTGCGCTATTCTCCAAACAGCTACAAGCTCATTTTGCCCTGTTGATCATATTCTGGATTTCTGATGATTAGAATGAAAGCTAATTTACCTCCACAGAGGTCTTATGGGATCAGTTTCACTTAGATATGACATGACAAAAAAAAAAAAAAGATATGACATGACATGACAATGACTGCACTGGTCATACAAGTTATCTCCTCCTTATGAATCTTCACAGTATACTATCAGGGTAAATAGTGCTCTCTATCATCTTTTACTTTGAACATTTGTATACTGGTTTTGTTTCCCCTATTACATTATTTACACTTTCAAAGTAAATAGGGGGGCACCTGGCTGGCTCAATCGGTTAAGTGTCTGACTCTTGATTTCAGCTCAGGTCATGATGGCAGAGTTGTGACCCTGCTTAAGTCTCTCTTTCTCTTTCTCTCTCTGTCTCTCAAAAAAAAAGGTTGGGCGGCCCGGGGGGAGCTCAGTGGTTTAGCGCTGCCTTCACAGGGCATGATCCTGGAGACCCGAGATAGTGTCCCGTGTCGGGCTCCCTGCATGGAGCCTGCTTCTCCCTCTGCCTGTGTCTCTGCGCCTCTCTGTGTGTGTGTGTGTGTGTGTGTGTCATTAATAAATAAATAAAATCTAAAAAAAAAAAAGGTAAATAGAGACTACAATTTTTATTAAAATTTTTTTTCTCCCATTTGTAATCTTCACCCCCAACATGGGGCTCGAATTCACAACCCTGAGATCAAGAATCATATGCTTCACTGACTGGGCCAGCCAAGTGCCCTGAGACTATAAATTTTATTTTATTTACTTATTTTTAATTTTTATTTTTTTTAAAGATTTATTTATTTATTTATGATAGACAGAGAGAGAGAGAGAGAGAGAGAGGCAGAGACACAGGAGGAGGGAGAAGCAGGCTCCATGCCGGGAGCCCAACGCGGGACTCGATCCCGGGACTCCAGGACCGCGCCCTGGGCCAAAGGCAGGCGCTAAACTGCTGAGCCACCCAGGGATCCCTTATTTTTAATTTTTAAAAAGGATTTTATTTATTCATTTGAGAGAGACAGACAGAGAGAGTACGAGTGGGGGAGGAGCAGAAGGAGAGGGAAAGGGATAAGTGGACTTTCAGCTGAGCTCTGAGCCCAATGAGGGGCTTGATCCCAGGACCCTGAGATCATGACCTGAGCTGAAGTTAGATGCTTAACTGACTGAGCCACTCAGGCACCCCTCAAGACTGTAACTTTTAGGGATGCCTGAGTGGCTCAGCGGTTAAACGCCTGCCTTCAGCCCAGGGTGTGATCCTGGAGTCCCAGGATGGAGTCCCACATCAGACTCCTGCAGGGAGCCTGCTTCTCCCTCTGCCTCTCTCTCTGTGTCTCTCATGAATAAATAAATAAAATCTTTTTTTTTTAAGACTGTAACTTTTAAAAAGCATTTTGTTTCCCTGAGCTCTAAATTAGGATTTTGCATCTTTGCAAATTCTTAATAAATGTCTAATGTCCCAAAGGAATTCATTATAAAAATATATGAAGTGGTACGCACAAAAATACTTTAGGAAATAGCTCATAAATAAATTATAGAAATATAAATATGCTTTTTTAAAAAGATTTTATTTACTTATTCATGAGAGACACAGAAAGAGAGAAGCAGAAACACAGGCAGAGGGAGAAGCAGGCTCCATGCAAGGAGCCCGATGTGGGACTCAAACCCGGGAACCCAGGATCACTCCCGGAGCCAAAGGCAGGCGCTCAACCGCTGAGCCACTCAGGCATCCCATAAATATTCTTTAGTAGACAATAAAATGAATAAATTAAAATTACATCTTAATGAGATACTATATGGTTACTTTAAAATATAGTAGTACCAGGGTGCCTGGGTGGCTCAGTTGATTAAGTGTCTGACTTCGGCTCAGATCATCATCTCATTGTCCTAGGATCTAGCCCTGTGACTGGCTCTGCACTCAGCAGGAAGTCTGCTTGCATCTTCCCACTCCCTTTGCCCCTCCCCACCACCTGTGCTCTTTCCTGCTCTCTCTCTCTCAAATGAATAAATAAAATCTTAAATAAAATACAACAGTACTATGGTCAATGCATTATTAAATGAGGCAGGCAGGTTACAGAATTTATATATAGTGATACCCCTGTATAAAACCCCAAAGGAAAAAAATTTGAATATATCCATCAAGATACTAAGACTATCTCTGAATGAAGGAATTTTTAGCAAGTTTCTATTTTTTCATTCAGTTTATATTCTTCATAATAAAAATCATAAAATATTGTTTCCATTTAAGAATAATAATCGTAGGGCAGCCCCGGTGGCGCAGCGGTTTAGCGCCGCCTGCAGCCCAGGGTGTGATCCTGGAGACCCAGTCGGGCTCCCTGCATGAAGCCTGCTTCTCCCTCTGCCTGTGTCTCTGCCTCTCTGTGTCTCTCATGAATAAATAAATAAAATCTTTAAGAAAAAAAAAAGAATTACAATCATAGCTGTAGTTGGTATTTATTTTCCTGACAGTAGGAAAATTATAAGCAATTGAGACAATGTCTATGACACGAATGGGGGCAAAAAAGGAAATGAGTGTGACTGAAACCAGTAATACTAAAAGTTCTTTAACAGCCCTTTAAAATGTTGACTCATATTTCCTGGTACACTGATACGGCCTCATTATCAAAAACATTCTGTGAATGACCAATTTTCAAGAGAATTCAAATTAATAAGACAACATATGCAAAGCTGAAAGCATGGTGTCATATACACAGTGAATTTCTTCTCTGTACAATCACTAATCGGAAGATTTTTGGGTGGGGTCTTTGCAAATTTGAGCACTTTTTATCATTTTGTTTATGGCATTCTTTTCATTGTTATGATTAACACTTTGTAAGCATATTTTTTATTAGTTGGATAACATTTCATCATATGAATGTAATGGGTGATCAAACATTCCTCTTGTTTCCTTACTGGTAGATGCAAATTTTGGACACATCAAAGGGCTATTACCAGGTATCACTGTCTTAGATTTTAGACCCGTGGTTCTAAATTTTCAGAAGTCATGAATCTCTTTGAAAATCTTATGTTATTGGGGATCCCTGGGTGGCGCAGCGGTTTAGTGCCTGCCTTTGGCCCAGGGCGCCATCCTGGAGACCCGGGATCGAATCCCACATCGGGCTCCTGGTGCATGGAGCCTGCTTCTCCCTCTGCCTATGTCTCTGTCTCTCTCTCTCTCTCTCTGTGTGACTATCATAAATTTCAAAAAAAAATTAAAAAAAAATCTTATGTTATCTTAAACCTTCTTCCTAGAAAAAAATCAAATGAATAAATATCTGTAAAAATTGTGCATAAAATTCCATGGAATCTGCAGAGTCCTGATGTCTAAGGGTGGGGACCAAGACCTTATTTAAAATCCTGCTATATAAAAAAGTAAATAAATAAAAAATAAAATCCTGCTATAATGACTTACTCACAAACATCAAGTACTACTAACTGTATTTTTTAATTTCTCATAATTTATCAAAAGCACAATAAGGATTCAGCTTGAAGCAAATTTAAGACTACCCAAAACCCAAAATGTCCCAAAATCAAATTAGATCTGGTCACTGCAACAAACTTCTACTTTTTTTAAGAGAGAGAGAGAGAAGGAGGAAGCACAAACGTAGGGGTGGGGCAGAGGGAGAGGGAGAGAGAGAATCTTAAACAGGCTGCACGTCCAGCACAGAGCCTAATGTTGAGCTTGATCTCACAACCCTGATGCTTTTTTTTTTTTTTAAAGATTATATTTATTTATTCATGATAGACGTAGAGAGAAAGAGAGAGGCAGAGACACAGGCAGAGGGAGAAGCAGGCTCCATGCAGGGAGCCCGACGTGAGACTCAATCCTAGGACTCCAGGATCGCGCCCTGGGCCAAAGGCAGGTGCTAAACTGCTGAGCCACCCAGGGATCCCCAACCCTGATGTTTGACTGAGCCACCTAGGCACTTCCACTGCAGCAAACTTCCATCCTAGATGTGTAAATTCAGACTTCTGTGAGGTGGCTGTACCAGATATTAAAATATATTACAAAGTCTCTATATTTGAAACAGTGTGGTAGTGGTGCATAAATAGATGAACAGACCAGTGAAGCAGAAGAGAAGGCCTAAAATAGCATCAAATATATTTGGAAGTTTAGTATATGATGGAGATGGATGGCATCACAAGTTTTTTTAAATAAATGGTGTCGAGAAAACTGGGTACCACTTGCAAAATATAAAATTAAGTCCACACCTCATACCATATACAAAATTAAATTCCAAATGTATCAGAAATCTTAATGGAAAAGATGAGACCATACAGGTATTAGAAAACAACATAGGTAAATTCCTCTTTAATCCTAGGGTTGAGAAAGTCTTTCAAAGTCCAGAACTAATAAAAGAAAATATTGGTAAATTTGACTACATAACATTAAAAAGAACTGGATGGCAAAAAAAACCCCACCATAAATAAAGTCAAAAGACAACTGACATGATCTTACTTGTAGAAAATCCTGGAGATCTCCTCCCCCACACAAATCCGAGTAAACAAATTCAGCAAAGTTGCAGGTTACAAAATCAACTCACAAAAATCAGTTGCATTTCCACACTGTAATAATGAACATTCTGAAATGGAAATTAAGAAAACAATTCCATTTATGGTAGTATCAAAAAAAAAAATACTAGGACTAAGCCAAGAAAGCAAAAGACTTAAACAATGTAAGCTACAAAACAGTGCTGAAACAAAAGACCTAAATAAATAATATGATATCTTGTGCCCAACCCAAGGATTAGAAGACAAATTCCTGTATTGAAGGCCTAATATCTAATATCACTGTATTTGAAGACAGGACCATTGTATGAGTAATTAAGGTTAAATGCGGTTGTAAGGGTGGGGCCCTAATACAGTACTATTAGTATCCCTAAAAAATGAGACTGATGTTTGCCTTCTTTCTCTCTCTTTTCCTGTGAAGATACAGCAAGAATGCAGGCATCTGCAAGCCAGGAAGAGAGATCTAACTAGAAACTGATGATGCTGACACCCTGATCTCAGACTTCTAGTCTGCATAAATGATATACAGACTGAATGCAATCCTTATCAAAACCCAATGTTTTTGTAGAAACAGAAATATTCATCCTAAAATACACACAGAATCAAAGGAACAGTCTTGGAAAAGAACAAAGCTGGAACACTGAACACTATTAGAACAAAGAAGACTGATCTCAAAACTTATTATAAAGCTACAGTAATCAAAATTTTGTGGTACTAAAAAAAAATTTTGTGGTACTGCCATGAAGTCAGATATCTAGACCAATAATATAGGATGGAAACCCTCACATATGTGGTCAAATAATTTTCAACAGGAATAGACAAGACCACTCAAAGAGGAAAAGGACAATCTTTTTAACAAATAACACTGGGAAAACTGGATATCCATATGCAAAAGAATGAAGATGAACCCCTACCTAATACCATATACAAAAATTAACTCAAAACATATCACAAATCCAAATATAAAAACTAAAAGTATAAAACTCTTAGAAGAAACCATAGGGGGAAATTTTCACAATATTAGATTTAATTAATTAATCTAATAATTTCTTGAATATGACAGAGAGAAAGGCAACAAAAAAATAGATATGTTGTGGACTTTATCAAAATTAAAAAACTTGTGCATCAAAGGACACTACCAATAGAGTAAAGAGAGAATTCATGGATCAGGAACAAATATTTGTAAATCATGTATCTAAATAAGGGATTGATACAATATATAGAAAATTTTTACAACTCAGCAACAAAAAAACAACCCAATAAAAAAATGGGCAAAGGGGGATCCCTGGGTGGCGCAGCGGTTTGGCGCCTGCCTTTGGCCCAGGGCGCGATCCTGGAGACCCGGAATCAAATCCCACATCGGGCTCCCGGTGCATGGAGCCTGCTTCTCCCTCTGCCTGTGTCTCTGCCTCTCTCTCTCTCTCTCTCTCTCTCTCTCATTCTGTGTGACTATCATAAATAAATTTTTTAAAAAATGGGCAAAGGACATTTCTCTAAAGATATTCAGATGGCCAACAAGTACCTAAAAAGATCCCCAACATCACTAATCATTAGGGAAATACACATCAGAGCATGTAACTCTTGATCTTAGGGTTGTGAGTTTGAGAGCCCCATGTGGGGTGCAGAGATTACTAAAAAAAATAAACTTAAAAAAATTCACAAAAAAAAAAATTCACAATGAGATACCACTTTACACTCATTAGGATAGCTATAATAAACATCTTAAAAATATAAATATATATGCATGCATATATATGTATAACATGTATAGGCAAGGATGTAGAGAAATTGGAAACTTCGTGCTTTGCGGCTGGGAATGTAAAATGGTTTAGCATCTGTGGAAAATGGCATAGTGATTCCTCAAAAAATTAAACATAGAATTACTATGTGACCCAGCAATTCCACTTCTGGGTATATACCCCCAAGAAGAGAAAGCAGAACTTGAACAGTTATTTGTTAAATAATGTTCCTACCACTATTATTCACAATAGCCAAAAGGTGGAAGCAACCCAGACATCCAGTGATAGACTAATTAATGATAAATAAAATGTGGTATATATGTACAATGGAATATTTGTTATTCAGTCTTAAAAAGGAAAAGGAAATTCTGACACGTGCTGCAACATGGATGAATCATGAACACATTATGCTAAGGGAAATAAGCCAGTCACAAAAGGACAAATACTGTATGATTCCACTTATATGAGGTATTTAGAATACTCTAATTCATAGACAGAAAGCAGAATGGTTTCCAGGGGCTAGAGGGACAGGGAATGGGGAGTTATTGTTTAATGGAAGCAGAGTTTTAGTTTTGGAAGATGAAAAAAGTTTTGGAGATGGATGGTGGTGATGGTCAGCTAAGCATCTGACTCTTGGTTTTGGCTCAGCTGATAATCTCAGGGTCATGATATCAAGCCCTGTCCTGAGTAGGGTTCTGGCTCAGCATGGAGTCGGCTTGGTTTTCTTTCTCCTTCTCCTTCTGCCCCTCCCACCCCACTGCCTGTGTGCTCTCTCTCTTTCTCAAATAAATAAATAAATCTTAAAAAAAAATTAAGGCTTTTAGAACAACGGTAACGTTTCCTGTATTCGAAAATAATTAAAATCAAACAGGATATATTTGTGTGTGTAAATCCAAAATAAAATACAAACAGACACAAATGAACCTACCTACATTACAAATGAGTAACATTATCATATAGGAGGATATAGGGAAAACTTTCACTATATACTGTAGGACAAAAAATAAAAATAACTGTATGAGATATGGAAGTATAGGTTGGCAATTTTTTAAAATTTAAAATCAATCAATTAAATATAGTCTATTATTAGTTTCAGAGGTAGAGTTTAGTGATTCAGCAGTTGCATTTAACACCCAGTGCTCATTACATCAAGTGCCCCCCTCAATGCCTATCACCCAGTTACCCCATTCTCCACCCAGAGGGGAGCCCAATGTGGGACTCCATCTTGGGACCCTGGGATCATGACCTGAGCCAAAGGCAGACACTCAACCACTGAGCCACCCAAGTTCCCTAGGTTAGCAATTCTTAAACTACTTTCTAAGACTGAACAAATAGATAAATAAATACATTGTGGTTAATAAAAGTTAACTTTTTTTTTAAGGATTTTATTTATTTGAGGGAGAGCATGAGGAGCAGGAAAGGGCAGATGGAGAGGGAGAAGCAGGCTCTCCACTGAGCAGGGAGCCCATCGCAGCCAGATCCCAGGACACTGGGATCATGACCCAAGCCAAGGCAGACGCTTAGCCACACACGTACCCCAAGAGTCAACTTTTTTTTTATTTTTTTTTTTATTTTTTTTTTTTAAATTTTTTTTTTATTTATTTATGATAGTCACAGAGAGAGAGAGAGAGAGGCAGCGACATAGGCAGAGGGAGAAGCAGGCTCCATGCACCGGGAGCCCGATGTGGGATTCGATCCCGGGTCTCCAGGATCGCGCCCTGGGCCAAAGGCAGGCGCCAAACCGCTGCGCCACCCAGGGATCCCAAGAGTCAACTTTTTCATTCTCAGAAAAAAGAGTTACGAAAAAAGGAAATGGAAAAGGCTGCAATAAACCCCCTAGTGTTAAATGTAATTAGAGATATCTTATGAAACGGTGTATGTATGTACAGATACATATATATTTCATAGCTGAGAGTACCTAGAAGCAATTCAGTATATCTAATTATGGTTTCTAAATATAATTTTCTTTTGTTTTTTTTAGATTTTATTTATTTATTTGACAGAGAGAGAGCACAAGCACAAGCAAAGGGAGAGGCAGAGGAAGAGGGAGAGGGAGAAGCAGACTCCCTCCCAAGCAGGGAGCCTGATGTGGGATTCCATCCCAGGACCCTGGGATCTGACCAGAGTTGAAGGCACACACTTAACCAACTGAGCCACCCAGGTGCCCCGAAATATCATTTTCTACTAAAAGGAGTCAGTGTTCCCTGGGAAATGTACATGTTCCAGAACTGGGGCTGGGAAAGTGTAAGTAGAAAGAGTTAGGGGTCTTTGGGGAAAAAACAAAACAGACAGACATAGCTTTCTTGATATAAGAAAAGTCATTTTAGGCCTCTGGCCATCTTATGAAAGAATGTAAGAACAAATGGCTGCTATCAGGCCAGGAGAGAACCTAACATACTATGGACGACAAATCAGCAGTAAAACCCACAGTGCTGATTCAAAAGTGAAGACTGATGTTCATTCCTTTTTTTTTTTCTTCTGATGTACATTCTTGAATTATATTTGCAGGCTCTAAACCCCTTTGAGCACTCAGATACCAGACCAGTTGGAGTCAGACAACTGATGATGCTGTCCTTTGCTAGCCTTCATGACTTTGACCCGGACTCAGTCATTTTAAGATGACTTCTGCCCCAGTTCCATGCTGTATTCCCCATTGTACAAGCCCCTTTGTTCATATGTATGCACCCTGTGCCTAAAACATCCCCAGTTCTGTTGTTCAGGGAGACACTGTTTTAGGGAAGATCCCTGGTGCTCTCCTTTATTTAGTACAAGAAACATTCTTCCTTTTTCTATTCTTTGGCTGGTTTTGTCTTTTGCCTCGACACCAAGCGGTAAATTCAGTTCTGGGTAATAAAAGTATAATATCAGCTTGGAACATCTCCTGGTGCCAGAAAATATGGCAGTACTAGAAAAAATAATAATAAAGGGGACACACTGAAAGCATACAGGAGTCAACTTAAAGGAGCTCCCAATGGCCAAATCCGGGGTAATCTGAGCAATAAAATAGTGACAGTAATGAATTGTAACCTACAGAACTAAAAAGAAAATCCAATTTATACACACATAAATAATTTAGTAAATAAATGAGTGGGGGAGAAGGAAAATCTTCTAACAGTAGATCCTATTTAATAAACATAGAAGGAAGGATGGAAATTTCAAAATCACCATTTGGCAAATAGCTGGTAATAACATTTTCAGGCAAAAATTATCAATGAATGTTAAGATTTGCAGGTGGAAGTTAACATGAGAGGCTTACAGTTATTTCTCCACAATACACATATTAATTACAATGGGAAAAATAGTGACTTTGCAGTGGAGAAATGGGACAGAGACTGCTAATAATGAGGCAAATTGACCTCTTGGATCTCCTGATATGATGCACTAAGAACACATTACTATTGGGGTATTCTTGTCCCAAAAGCATACTCTTAATTTAGTCACAAGGAAGCATCAGACAACTTCAAATTGGGGAACACTCTACACTGCACAATTTACAAAACAAATGGCCAGTACCCTTTAAAAGTGTGAAGGTCAAGTAAGACAAAGACCCAGGAACTGTGCCAGATCAAAGAAGACTAAGAAGACCTACTAACTAACCATAACACATGATACTGGATTGGATCCTTGTGCAGAAAAAGGACACTAAGGGACATTGATGAAATTTGAATAAAGTGTGAGACTGTTAGTAGTAGTGTATCAATATTAATCTCCTGGTTTTGATCATGTACTGTGATTATGTGAAATGGTAACATATGGGGAGGCAGGTTGACTATATGGGAATTCTGGGGCATCTGGCTGGCTCAGTTGGTGGAGTGTGCAACTCTTGATTCTGGGTTTGTGGTTTTGCTGGGTGTGGAGATTACTTAAAAATAAAATCTTAAAAAAAAGTATATGAGAATTCTATTTTTGCAAGAATTTTAAGTCTAAAAGTAATTCAAAATGAAAAGTTAAAAAAATTTTTTAAAGGTTTTATTTATTTATTCATGAGAGACACAGAGAGAGAGAGGCAGAGACACAGGCAGAGGAAGAAGCAGGCTCCATGCAAGGAGCCTGTTGTGGGACTCGATCCCGGAACTCCAGGATCATGCCCTGGGCCAAAGGCAGGCGCTAAACCACTGAGCCACTCAGAGATCCCCCCAAAATTTTTTTAATGAACACTAGGTGTGCAGGAAGCTGGGGCATATGGACCTTTTAGGGCTCTCAATAATTTACTCCAATGGCAAATACTGGAGACCAGGTCACTTTGGGTGAGGAAGAGTTAGGCAAGAAGTTTCAGGAAAAGAAAAGCACATCATGAAAAACAAGAATGGTCTCAAGGAAAGAAGAAAAACTAAGGCATCTGGAACTTAGCTTCTGGATGTTCAATAATGATTCTTTCCTCTTCCGTTCAACATTTCTCTTGGATAAGACTTTTTTAAAAAGGAACATTTTGACCTCCACACAGGAGACAGAAGTCAGTGAAGACTGGACATCAAGTCCAATGCCGGTGTCACAGGTAAAGGTTGAGGCTATCACTGTCCAGGGCCCCAATCTATTCTAACTTCACAGGTTCTGCAAGGGTCAGTATACTGGAGTCACAGATACCTCACACCAGCACACAAGGGTCTGTCACACAAACACAACCACACATCCACTCTTGATACGCACAAGGACACAGACAATCACAGACACTCCAGGTCCTTATACAGTCACAATCTCATACCCATTAAAAGACATACACAGTCACACAATCTCACACCCACTAAAAGACATACAGTCACACTACTCACCATCATGACACACGAAGTCACTCTCATATAGTCATAGCCTTTCCAAACCAATACCCACAAATGTCTCACACAATCACAATCACATACCCACTTGGGGGACACACACAATCACTGGCACTCTGGCTCACCCAATATCAACCAGTCATAACTGAACATTCACTCTAGAGACACAGTCACACTCACACAGGGAAAGAAAGACACGTTACACTTAAACACAGCACCACCCACATCAACCGTTTCACAGACACACTCCAAGGGACACAAGAAGGATACACACCCACTGTCAGTACACAGTCACAGACACACAATACCACCCACGCTACAACATCGCGCAACCAAAACCATACGCTCACCTTGGAGACATGTAATCATAACCGCACAGACACCCACACCCGTCTCACAGTCACAACCACACTCACACTCTCAAGAACAAGGCGTACAGTCACCCATACAGAACAGGGACACAAAGAGTTACCACCCCACAATAGTACGGACCCCACATCCCAATACACAGTATCACACATGGTTAAACAAACAACCAGACTTGCACCCTGGAGACCGGCGGCCACAACCGTACACTCACAGTCACCCACACCTAGTCATGCAACCACAAAGACTCATTCACAATCCGGAATCCTCAGCCCGCTCCCGCCAGCGCTCACAGACCAGAGGCTCTGGACACGCCCCGTCCCCGCCCCGGACTCCCAGACCCCTCACCTTCTGCCTCCCCTTGGTCGCGTCCGGGTCCCTGTGGAGCTAACGATCTCGCCACGACGTCAAGAAAGACGTAACGTCGGGCCACTGTGGACTCTGGGAAACGTAGTCCAGAGCCAGACCAGACATAGATAAGATGGCGTCCTCGTACCTCAAAGCCTGAGTTTGGCCGTTTGACACTGCGCCTGGGGGAGCTTCAAAGACGGAGTCCCTGCTCCAAACCTCCCACCAGGCTTGAGCTGATTTTCTTCTAGAGCAGGACAACTCACCCTGAGAGCCCCATAATCACAGGAGGAGGCAGCCAAGTTCGTGTGGGACAGAGTGCTGACCAGCAAAGCCTTAAGGGAAATGTAGTTCAAGGCCGGAAAAACGGCGTAGCTGTGACAGAAGGTAATCAAATACTAGCCTGGGCCTGGCCACGGTGACCGTGCGGGCCGCGTCGCGGAGACTTCTGGGAGTGCTTACTCGCCCTCGGAGTGCGCAGGCGCAGCGCGCCGAGTGGACATTTTGGTCTTTGTCCGCGGGTCAGTCCGGCCCCTGGGTCCACGTGGCGCGAAAGTAGGAGGTGGGATGTGGGCGTCTTGGGCCGTTCGGGTCGGGGAGGTTGAAGGGGAGGTTTCTGGATTTGTTGGGGCGCGGCGCGGGGGATGAGGAGTGGGTTTAAGAGCTTCTGGCCTACATGTGGGGTGGGGGTGGGGGTTTCTGAGGCGGGTTCGAGCGTGTGTGACCCTGAGTTTGTCCGTAAGTTTGACTGGATGTTGGGATTATTGAGTGAGAAACTGTGGGTGCAGGATTGTAAATGGCTGCATCTGAGAGGGAGATGTAGGAGACCAGCATTGAGGCGGTAATGTCTGTGCCGCACTTCCCTTGTCGAAAGTGCTGATAATAACGGTGCCATCTTCGTGTTTTTTATTTGAATACTCGGAGGAGGGGGGGAAAGGCTAAGAAATAATTTAAAAGTGAATTTTTATATAAAAACGTGTTTACTTTTAATTGGAGTAGAATGCAGATTACCGTGGTTTCTTTTTTTAAGCAAGCAAAGAATATTTCAAAGGCACTTTTTGTTGGCGGGGGAGCTTCACACGATCTCAAATCTCCTGCTCTTCAGGGTATTTTAATAGGGCTGCTGTTAAGTCCTAGATTAAATATCGACGTTGTACTTCGAGTAGCAGCGTCATATAGCACAGAAAGTCCAGGATTAGAGTCAAGGGTTTGAAGTTCTAGGTTAGGCACGGTTTTCCTCATTCTTTGAAGAAAATTTAGTTGTTGCAATGTTTATCTATTAGTCTGATTTAGATTCTAGGTGTCCAGACGCCTAAATGAATTGAGGTGTTCCCAGACTGAAGGGATTTTGTGAAGTAATAAAGACCATTAACTGCTGTTTGCAAAGATGCTTTTTCTAAGAAATCCTTAACAGTCATCCTTAACAGAGTTTTAAATAATAAGAGTTAAAGTAATTGGGTACTAATTTAATATCTACAAATCAACAGTCTTCAAATAGCCAGTTGGAAAACCTAATAGAAGAAAACTATTTACAATAGCAATAAAGAATTGAGAAATAATATGCAAAACTATTAGAAAAGAACTTTAAAAAGTGCTGAGAGGCATGACGAGATATTATTCAAATAGATACACCACGTTTTTCAATAGGAAGACGGCATAAAGAAGCATGTGCTGATTTAAGTAAAGTTATTAATTCAATTTGATACTAAATAAAAGGATCTACAGTTTTTTTGGGGAGCGGGGGAACTAGATAAGCTAATTCTGCAATTCATATGGAAAAATAAACTAGAATAGCCAGTAAAACTCTGAAGAAGAAAAAAGCAGTTGGGGTGTGGAGAGGTGGGAGCTCAGCGCTAATATATATATATATATATATATTTTTTTTTAATTTCAATTCCAGCGTAGTTAACATACAATGTTACATGTTTCAGGTGTACCATATAGTGATTTAGCAATTTATATATTATTCAGTGCTCATCAAGATAAGTGCTCTTAATCCCTTTCAGTTGTTTCACCCATCCCCCCACCCACCCACCTCCCCTCTGGTAACCATCTGTTTATTCGCTATAGTTAAGCATCTGTTTTTTGATTTGTCTCTTTTTTCCTTTGTTCGTTTGTTATTTTTCCTAAATTCCACACGTGTGAAATCATATGGTATTTTTCTTTCTCTGACTGACTTATTTCGCTTAGCATTATTCTCTCTCTCTCCATCCATCTACTGGTAATGTATTTTAAAATATAAATCCTCAGAAATTGAAATCATATTGGTGTTAGCACCAAGCAGGCTGGTGAAAGGAAATTTGGCAACATCTATAATTACAAATCTATTTTCTGTTTGGCATGGCTGTTTCCCATCTGGAAATTAATCCTACAAATGTACCTGCATTTGCATGAAATGATACAGATAAGAGGTTGCTCATTGCATCAGTGTTTGGCATAGGAAAAGATTAGCCATCACTAGGATAAAATTAGGTCCAGCTATGCAACAGAATAAGGAGGTATACAAAAGAATGAGGAAGCTTTTTGTATACTGACACTGAAATAACTCTAGAATGATTCTAGAATTGTTCTATGAAAAAAGCAAGATGCCAGAAATGTATGTTATGCTTCATTTGAAGTAAGAAGGGACAGAAATAAAAATGTATGTTTGTATTTGTTTCGCTTAGAAAACTCAAAAGATAGTCAAGAAACTATTAAAAGTGGCTATCTCTTTTGGTGTAATGGTACTGTATAGGTAGAGCAAAGGCAAATACTTTTTTTCCTTTTTTTTTTTTTTTGGTAAAGATTTTTATAATTTGAGAGGGGTGGGTTCGAATGGGGGGGGGTGTTCAGGGAGAAGCAAACTACCAACTAAGCAGAGTGTGCGTGCACATGGGGCTTGATCCCAGGACCCTGGGATCAGGACCTGAGCCAGAGGCAGGCAGATGCTTAATGGCCTGAGTCACCCAGGTGCCCTGGCAAATACTTTTTATATTGTTTTTCTAAGTATATGAATTTAGTATTTAAAAGTTAAGGTTTTTTTCTCATCTACAGAAAATAATAGTATCTGATTCATGAGGTGGTTGGGTTGTGCGGATGGAGTTCTGAGTACTAAAGGATAGTGTCTGCTATGTAATAAGAACTTGTTAAGTTTTGAATGGCAGTATTATTACTATCTGCAAAATAATAGTTCCTTAGAAACAGTACAGCCATTTGTACGGTTTCTGGTAGAAATTTTTCTTTCTTTCTTTCTTTCTCTTTCTTTCTTTCTTTCTTTCTTTCTTTCTCTCTCTCTCTCTCTCTCTCTCTTCTTTCTTTCTTTTTTTCTTTCTTTTCTTTCTTTTCTTTCTTTTCTTTCTTTTCTTTCTTTCGAGGCGCAGAGGGAGAAGGAGGCTACCCACAAGGAGCCCAATGGGGGATTTGATCCCTGATCCAAGATCATGCCCTGAGCCAAAGGCGAACGCTCAACTGCTGAGCCACCCAGGCGTCCCTTCTGGTAGAAATTTCGAAAGATTTGGATATATATAGATGTTCTTTTTTTTTTTTTTTACCATATTTAAACTTTTTTTTGTTTCCTTTTATAACTGGAATGAGGAAGTTCGATTTCTGTGTTCAAGTTACATTCATCTTTAGAAACCATCATTATCTTTTTTTTTTTTTAAAGGTTTTCAAAATTGGGCAGCCCCTGTGGTGCAGCGGTTTAGCGCCGCCTGCAGCCTGGAGTGTGATCTTGGAGGCCCCGGGATCGAGTCCCGGGTTGGGCTCCCTGCATGGAGCCTGCTTCTTCCCTCTGCCTGTGTTTCTGCCTCTCTCTCTGTGTGTGTCTCTATGAATAAATAAATAAAAATCTTAAAAAAAGATTTAAAGATGTTCAAAATTTATTCATGAGAGACACACACACACAGAGGCAGAGACATAGGCAGATGGAGAAGCAGGTTCCATGCTGGGAGCCTGGCGCAGGACTTGATCCCGGGACTCCAGGATCATGCCACGGGCCAAAGGCAGGCACTAAATCGCTGAGCCACCCCCCCCCTTTTTTTTTTTAGATTTATTTATTTATTTATTTATTTATTTATTTATTTATTTATTTATTTATTCATGAGAGCCACAGAGACTGAGGGAGAAGCAGGCCCCCTGTGGAGAGCCTAATGCAGGACTCTGTCCCAGGACCCCAGGATCACAACCTGAGCCAAAGGCAGACCTTCAACCACTGAGCCACCCTGGAGTCCCTGGAAACCCATTATTATCTTTTTCATGAGAATGTTCTTTGATTTCTGTGGTGGTTACTTTCTCATGGTTCTAATTCAGAACCTCTGATGATGTTTTTTAAGAATCCCAATTGTGACTTACTTTTGGCCAGAGTAAAGCAGAGATGATCTTCAAATGTGTAACATCAGAAGAGGTATATGATATGACTGATCCATCATTAGTGATTATATTTTTCCCTTTTTGACCAAAATGTAATCTGTATGGATTTACTTTGTATCATATGAATGAATATTCACTCCCCATTGGTTTAATGGATGGATTTTTTTTTTAAGATTTTATTTATTCATGAGAGAGAGGGGGGTGGGGCAGAGACACAGGCAGAGGGAGAAGCAGGCTCCATGCAGGGAGCCTGATGAGGACTCCATCCCGGGTCTCAAGGATCAGGCCCTGGGCTGAAGGTGGTGCTAAACTGCTGAGACCCCCCCCCCCCCGTTGTTCTGTTTCATATTTTTCTGACTTGTAAGCATCATTATAAAGTTGAGTTCTAGCAACTATAACTAGTTTCCTTTCTGATACTCCTATTACCACAATTTTAGCTGTGGACATTCCTCCAAACTGACTCCTGGTTCATTTTGACTTGTTGCCATTTAATTTGAAAACTTTCGGGGGATCCCTGGGTGGCGCAGCGGTTTGGCGCCTGCCTTTGGCCCAGGGCGCGGTCCTGGAGACCCGGGATCAAATCCCACGTCGGGCTCCCGGTGCATGGAGCCTGCTTCTCCCTCTGCCTGTGTCTCTGCCTCTCTCTCTCTCTCTCTCTGTGTGACTATCATAAATAAATAAAAAAAAAATAAAAAAAAGAAATGTTCATTTAAAAAAAAAAAAAAAAATTTGAAAACTTTCTTGCACTCCAGGCCCACCTTGTACCTTCCCTCTTGGAATTGGCCATTTCTCCCAAGGAGCTCTCATTCCTTTAATTGGAGAATGGTAGTAGAGCCCAAGATCTGGGTGCTGATGTTCTCATTGCTGCACGG